TTGAACCACTAAATGCCGGGAGGTAAACCTGGTAGTTTACCTATATTTACTTTCTCCCCAAGTGTATACTTTTCGCTTAGTATATTTATTTTTCTACATTGTATAGAAAAAACTTTTTCTACATAAAAATAAAAAGTTATAAAAGTTTGACAAAACAAAATAAGTCAAAAAACCCGGCTTGGGGAGATGTAAATTTATTATCCAAAAAAGTATCTTTCTACTTCATTTTTACTTACTGTTACATTTCCTAGTAATAAAAATAAAAGTATAAAAAAATGTTATAATATGTATGTTAGTTTATTTAAAAGTTTTAAGAGTCACTTATAAATAAAAAGGAGCTTAATCTTTCTCTCTCATAATCTCTTTTGATAAGACATATTGAATGGTTGCTTTATGTTGTAATTCCTTTCTGGTACACAGTTTTCGGTTTAAAAATTCCCCGAGGTTTTGGATGAATTTGATTTGATACAAGGACTTACTCACGAACTTGAAACTCCTTGGGTAGTATATATGCTTGATCTAAGTCTAGTTAATTGATAAATATGATATGAGATGATTTACGAGCTGCTTTCTGTATGACAACTTAAATTCCTACCACAGCCATATATGTTGTTCATATATAAAAAACTTTCTACATATATGCTACTTGTATGCGTTGAGTTTTGGTCAAGCTTACATGATCATATGATAAAATTATCATGTTTTAAAATCAAGATCACGTACACACTACCTAAATATGCACTACTTCTACACCGGAGTAGGCATAACATGCCTTCTATTAGATCTATCCAAAATGTTCTACTCTACACACAGGGAGTAAACAAAACATGCCTAATAGGTTTCTCACTCAAAATAAATACTTCTAGTTCATTGATATCTCTCTCAAAGTTTGTTCAAAAAAGAGGCATAGAATATGTTCGAAAAAGAGAAAGAAAGAAGAAAATGAAAGAAAAATGAGAAAAGAGAAGAAAAAAGAAGAAAAAGAATAAAGATAGCCCCTGTTCTCACAAAATATTTCAAGTTTAATAAAAGAAAGATTTGTTTCAAAAGGGCATAGATAGGTTTTGTTTATCCATTATATTTAGCCACCATATATCCACTATATATATTCACACACATGCACGTCTTGATTTGATTGTATGACATTTTCTCTTTCGATCCAAGGTTTGAATTTACAATATATGCAATACCAAGTATGTTATACGCTTTCTCCTACCTGTATAAGCTCCACAAAAGCTTTGTGTTGTAGGAAGAAAAGGCAACAACAAGTTATGCCTTGAGGATCTAAAAATACTACATATAGAGAAACTTGAGAGTGTCATACAAAAGGAATCTCCTGAGTTTCATTTGGTAATTTATAAAACCTCCAGAATAAGGTTAAGCAAAAAAAGAACTTGAGATCTGATGCTTTTACTTGATCGTTACGTATTTCAATTACTCAAGACCCAAGTGATGGCTAAGAAGCCCCATGAAGTTGAAGGTAATATGGGTGAGTTTAAGTCGAATCAATTTATTTCAATCAGTGAGGAGAATTTTACATTGAAAACGCCTATGTACTTTTGAGGAGTGAAAGCATTGGTAGCAACTCTGGATCCATTGCTGCCAAAGTTTAAGCTTTGCTCGGGGGATGAGCAGGTTAAGCTTGAAGAATCTTATTGACAGTCTCTATAGCAAAAATAAACCATCAATTTCACTTGCATTTATTCTTAAAATCAAACATCAACATAGGTTTAGAGGCTTTAAACTAACGAATTCAACAAGTCTTGAGTGAATATGTCATGATGAGCTGGTTTATCTAGAAAAGCAGGCCAAGATGAGCCATATTACATCGGAAAATCAAGATGATGCATGAAACTACGACTCCGGCCTCCCACATCCACCCATCCATGACTTACCACAAAGATCGTGGCCGAGAGCCCGGGGGGTTGGCCGACCTCAGTGGGGTGGCTCGACCCCTTGTCCCCACTCCTCGGCCTCCCATCAAGCGTGATTCTCCACCAACCTTGAGGATCAATCTTAACCATATGTTGAAGTCGGTTTGGATTGGAGGGACAAGACCATGCCATGGTTCATGGGCCCATAGGGGTGCTGGGTGCCCCCTATAAAGACCCCAGACCCCTCTAGGAGGCAATTCGATTCATTCGAGTCAAACCAACCCGGAGAAGAAGAGCTCCCATAAACTTGGAAAATTAGCATAGCTTGCTTTAGTTAGATCAAGGAGAGTATTCTTTGCTGCTTCCGGTTCGAAATTCGATCCGCAGGAGGCTTAGGTATAGCCCTTGTATCCATTACATTCATCTTATTAGCAGCTTTGATCTTCATCTATATTATGTTCTTAGTTATCATGTTCATAGTATAACGATTATATACTTAGTATGGTCGATTATCATTACAATTATGCATAGGATCATGAGGCGCTCAGCCATTGTTCGAACGGGTTGAGTAGCCAAACTAACTTATTAATAGTGGTGCCTTATACATTGTTTTACTATGGATACCATTCGAGATCATGTGGTAAGATCACGAAGTTTTTGCTTGTCAATTCTCACGTAATCCACCATTACGTGGACTAGTAGGACCTATATGTCACGACGGAGAAGTATATTTTGCTATGCTCCTCCTTACAGATGTCCACTTAATACTTTCTAGATTAGTAAAGTTAATCTTTTGCTATTGCTAAGTATATATAAAATGATGGTATGTTTTTGACATGAGTAAGAATGACTTAGAAATTTATCTCTTGTATTTAACTTAGTTAGCTATTGCTATCTTTGGGCAACCTCTTTCTAATGTTAAGCTTATCATATACATATATCTTTTGGTTTACCCCTATTTAGAGTAAGTGTTTAGTTCCCTGATTCATCCTAAGTATAGGTTTATCAATCTCTTTATTGCCATGGTTCCTCTCTGTGGTAAAATATAAATAATGATACATAGAATACTTCGATGAAATGCTACAATGGTATTATAATATACCATGTAATTCTTATTTTCTTATTTGCACTCATAAATACCAATGATGGCACATCCCCTGTCGGCCCAAGATCCCTTATACAGCGCCCGGTCCAGTGCTGAGACCCTAGCCAAGTGTGGCTGCTCTACAAGAAAGACTGGCAGCGCGCCGACCTACACCTTTACCACAAGGTACCTTTGCCTCAGTAAGCGTAGCCTTTCCCCTCTGTACCTCCCTGTGTGTGGCCCTTCCTTCGGTTCGCTCATGCGTGCATGCAGGAGGAAGAAGAAGTTTTATAGAGGATGACATGGATTTGGGGTCAGTTTTTAGATGGTGTTCTTGAAGGAAACAATGAAATATGGGTAGTATGAAGAATGGATGGCTACTGGTGAGAGTAGAGTGTGTTTTAGGTAGTATTGCGGAGATGCTCTTCTGGATTTGTGTTTATGCTTCATGCTAGCTACTAGGCAGAGTTTCATTCTATATTTCTAGTAGAGATAGAGATAGAACAAGCTATAATTCCATCTATATCTCTATTAAGCTAGGAATGTAAGTCTCGCTCTAAAAAGAAAAAGCTAAATGAAAATGAGTACGTTACTTTAGTAGAGAAATATGAGTAAATTGCTTGCCATCCCCCCCATATTCTTTCTATGGGATCACGGGGGTTTTCTGGCTGAAAGTGCCAGGGGCAAAACCTCAAAACACTCGGTAAAGAGTTTGCTTGAAAGTGTTACACCTTGCGAAGCTACACTCATAAGGTTTTTAACCAAGAAAGAGTCGCTTGTCGAGAGTAAGTCGATCGTGTTACTCTTGCGAAAGACTATGCAGAAAAGCCCAAAAACACTTCGTTAAATATTTTGGGAAAAATATAAAAAACAAAGTCGCCGGCTGGCCTCACTACTGCCGCCCGCCCGCCACCACCTCCCACCATAACGCCTACCCACCACCAAAGCTGTCGCCACTCACCACCACATCCAGCTGTAGCCCACCACCAGCACGGCTGCCACCACCATCACCACCAGCGCCGCCGCCACCACTACTCACACCACGCCTCCCGCCCATGGATCGGCCGCCCGGACGGATCTAGGAGCAGGAGGGCCGGATCCCACCGGGAGAAGCCGGAGGGCCCATGATCCAGCCGGGGAAGAAGAGGAGGGAGGGCGGGGAAGGGCCGTAGCCGAGGGAGGAGGGCGCTGGGTGAAGAAGAAGGGGAGGAGGCGCCATTGAAAGAAGTGGAGGCGTGAGGAGGCGGGCAAGGCGGGCGGGCAGGAGAGGAGGGCGCCAATGCTAATTAAGTAGGATTTTGTCTCATAGAGTGTCCTAGATCCTGACACTGACCCAAAGCTTTTATATTTTTCTTCTTCTTCTTTCCTTAAAAAATGTTTTTATTTCTTTGTGAGAGTGTAAAAGAAAACACTAGGCAAACATCCTCTTCTTGAAAGTGTTTTTTGCATAAAGGCAAACCCCTTTCTTTCAAGTCAGTGTTTTTTTTGCCAAATATTTTAGCGCAACACTCTAGAAAAGAATCTCTTGTTGCTACGAAAGTGCCCAGAGGGAATACACTCGGCAAACATAAACATTACTAAAGCAAATTTAACGCTACGGTAGTGATTATATAGGTTGGGGACCTCTTGGCCCATACAGATAGCACAGCACCACCAGTAATCCGCCATAAATTTGTTAAGCTGATCTAGAGATGGTAAGTCACAGCTGGTAAGCGATATGTTGCACGCTTCTTTATACTGGAGTTTGCATCAAGTACTCTCTCTAGCACAGACACAGCCTACATCTTGTTTATCTTACATTTTATTTTGCATCTCCCGTTTTTATGGTGTTACTAAATATTGATTATGTGATCTTCCCCATCCCTGCACCAAGCCGTTGTTCCACCCATCTCCCCGGGAGAAGATTTCGAAGAGTGCAAGGGCTAATCTCTTCGAGTCTGCTTTGCTGGACCCCCGTTAGAAAAGCTTATATCTTGCTCTCCCCAGTCGATAGCAGGACAAGGCACCATGCAGAAATGAGTGCAAGCAGAAGAACTACGACGATGGAATGTGTTGGAGTCACACCTGGTAAAAGTGAAGCTCGTCTGTTTATGTGACATGCCAACTCAAAGTGACGATGCTAAAGCAAAGCAACGAGTAAAACCGGGTGAATAAATCTGCATTAACCCAATATATACAAGAGAATGGGGGAATCATAAAGGGGGGTGCTGTCGGAGAACGAACTTCCTGGTTTTTATCCCCCCTTTATTATTCTGGTCGCAGTAATCTGCTCCAGCAACAAGGTTTTCAGTTTTTTGCTTCTTTTCTTTCTGGTCTCACGCATCAGGGGACTGTTTGTTTCACTGCCAAGCAAAACTCCCAGATGACATGTTATGCACTCCTAGGTGTTGGGAATATATGGGCTTGGGCCCAGCCAAGAAATGCCTAAAATACTCAGCTTAGACCTAATTCGTGTAAAAGCGAAAGAGGGATGTGAAACTCTTTTAGTCCTACATTGCTTGTGGAAGCGGAGGTAGCCATGTTTAAATCTCGAGTCCTCTCTATATAGCGGATTTTCACATATAGTCAAAAATTGGATTCCTAAGAGTGTTTTTTAGAACTACATCATCATAAGAAAGCATCCTTCGAAATAGTAAGTGGGGTTTATAGATATCACTAATTGCTGATAGAAAGTTGGTTGTTTATTCCTAACTTTTAGTAGAAACTAACTATATAACTACCGTAGAAGAAAACAATCAATAATCCCCGGCTTCCGTTTGTGTCATGCTCCGCCACTGCCACCATGGTTTACAAGTACAGCCCTGCCATGGCGTGGCCTGCCCAACGTGGAGCCCTGCCCGCTGCAATTTCGCTGGGCTTTGCATTGCCCGCCGAAGTGAAGTGGCGCCAGTGATCTGAAGAGAGAATGCATGATCTAGGGAAAAATGTGTTGCTACAGGCAGAAATCGATAAAGGCGTTAATATGGATTTGATCATTTACAGGGTATGGGTCACAATTGTACACCACGGAAATGTTGACTCTTGAAATAGTTCAAGAAAAAGTTTCATTCCTTGGCAGTTGGCCGCCGATTAAGGATTGTCTTCTTGACGTTTTTAGTGGTATCGTTGGTGGTTTTTTCTGTATCAAGGTAATTTAATTCTCTAACTCAATATAGTGTTTCTCCCCCTCAACATAGTTTGCAGACCATGCACTCTACCAAATTGTAGAAGACAAGAAAAAATCCACATGGCAAGCAGATGAGATAAATGCACTCTGAAGCAAGGAGAATTAAAAGAAAGAAACCTCACCGGACAAGCTAACAGCGGTCACCGTTTGGCAGCGTCTGGAACGTCCTTATCAATCTGTTGTGGATAATTGTGGTATTGGACGCTGTGGGAAGATTTATCGTTCTGATCGCTACTATTGGTTTTTCAGCTAGAACTGCTCCAGTATGATATAAGTATTTTTACTGCCATGACAAAATCAAGATCGGTCCCGGGGTTGCTCGGTGAAGCAATGAGCCAAGCAGCATGCATGATGATGAGAAATGAAATGTTTCTCCTGTTGAAAGACGAAGAGAGGATGCATGAAGGCCCTCGCTGGGTGTCCAGAGACTGGAGAAGCTGGTTCACCGGAGAATCTGATTTCAGATCTGCCCCCACCTGCGTGCGACCGAGCAGGCTCTGACCTCGGTTTCAGGGGCCTTGTTGAACGTCCTAGTTCACGCTGGGCCCCAATGCGGGAGTAGCTTACCGTCGATGCTATATAGGCGGGCTGCACTCGTGAGCGACCTTTTATTAACCCGTCATCAGTTGGCAACAAGCCGACGACACGATGGCATCACGCACGTGAATATCGCACCTTCTTTTTTTCACCGTGGCTGAGATTCAGATCCGGAACGGCCAGCGCTTTGAACGACCCAGAGCACCTGCAGCCAGCCTGAGGCCCCACACGCACGGGAGAGCCTGGCCCACCTGCCAGCGACGCACCTCCACATCGACACACGGTTGCGGGCTGGGCCCTCCCCGACGGACGGTGCGGGCGCAGTCTCGTGATCCCAGCGTTGAAAGAAAAGAACAGAACGCGCCATGGGACAACCCCCATTTTGTTGCTGACGTTATTCCAAACAAGTTCTTTTTGTGGAATTATGGTCACCAACAACCATTTTTCTTGGGTTTTTCTAGGACAAGTCTCTCGACTGTGCTTTGAGCTTTTTGTTTAGAAAAAACCTCGCATCCCATGTGTTATGAGTGTACTTGTATTCTTCAATCCTCACATTCAGATGCACGCACAAATACGTCGAATTGAGTTGGTTCTAGAACTTTGTGGTAGGGTATGTGGGTAATTCAGAGGCTCTCCTTTTTTCTCAGTGTTTGCATCTAAGGTAACAAAGTTATGAAAGCTAAAAGGGTTACCGTTACTTTTTTAGTAATCGGTTTGGACCCCAGTCTCTCTAGCTCTCAAGCATAGCATAGCTTGCTCAATTCATAGTGCTTGACGCATGTTTAGGTGTTGCACAATTTTGGGTTGTATTGAGGAAACAAATTATTATTTATTGCCATAAACACATGATAAAAGAAACACATGTATCGTTGACTACAATTTGAATGTTAGAAAAAAAATGTAGATTTAAGCATTTTCTCCGATCAAAAGGGATACCCCCCTCAGTTCTAAATTATACGCCGCTTTATGCAATCTCTCTAATTTTCACAAATCTTATAAGAAAAACCAAAAACATCTTCGAATTCAAATTAGTTTTATTAAATTCTCTATGCAGATGCTGCTATGTTTTTCTCTAATTTTGGAATTTGAAGAAGAATTTAAATTCATTCATTTGTTTCACATTTATGTTGTTGAATTTTGCATTCATCCTAGACACACAGTGTCTGCTACTATTTTGATCCAGGTAATGGCTGCACACCCCGACTGTGCTACATTGGACACAACAATCCTTGATGCACTACATATCATGCATGATGGCAAATTCTTGCATATTCCTGTTCTTGATGGAGGTAAACTTTGATTCTTCCAGCCTAAGGTTGCCTCCTTTGATACTTCTATTGTGTATCTGATTTTCCTTTTCCATGAACAGATGGGCGGGTTGCTGCTTGTTTGGACGTTCTACAAATTACCCATGCTGCCATTTCAATGGTCTCCTCTCCATGGCCCATGCCTCCATCGCTTTATCCATCCTAGTAATCTTAGTCCATCTGAAATGTTTTTTCCCCCTGAAGGTTGAAGGAGGTCCTGGTGCTGCAAATGATGTGGCAAACACGATAATGCAGAAATTCTGGGACTCTGCACTTGCTCTAGAGCCTCCAGATGAGGATTTTGATAGTCACAGGTTTAGTTAATGTTTCTTTTGTGTTCTTTTTATTTGTCTTCCTCTCAAATGCAATGCTTGCCTGAATTATTGCATTGTACAGTGAATTATCTTTAGTGATGCCATCAGATGCCAGGGATGGCAGGAGTAGTATTTATCCTCCTGCTGTTGATAATTCATTTGTCTTTAAGCTTCAGGACAAGAAGGGACGTATGCATAGATTTACTTGTGGTAGGTACTGAATATGATGTTAGTCAGAGAGTTGACTGTGCTGAAATGCTTCAGCTAACAGCTTATTTGTTCGATTTCAGGCTTTGAGAGTTTAGATGAGCTGATGTCTTCTGTAATCCAAAGGTTAGGCATGGGTGATGAGAAGAGTGTGATTCAACTGTTGGTAAGCTTGAATAATTTGACATCCCATTGTTTCCAACTTTTAGAAGTTATATTGCAGGAGTAAAGAATTGGATGTTTTCTGTGTGTAGCCTTCAAATAGAGGATACTGTTTTAATGTTCATGGAACAATCATGTAGCTCATTCGGTATCGTGTTGTTGTCAAGCACTGTTGAATTTATCTGTGAGCTTAGCTTATTTAGAATACCCTGCATACTGAACAATTGTACCAGCTAAAATTCCATGTGTTGCTCTATGCAGTATGAAGATGATGAAGGCGACAAGGTGCTGTTGACAACCAATTCTGATCTTACTGGTGCTGTGTTGTATGCGAAATCATCTGGATTGAAGGTCTTTCACTTCTCTGATATGGACCCCCTTTTGTTTGCTTAAAAACTACCATTTGAGTATTTATCATACTGTGGGGCTGTTTAGTTCGTAACCATAGTTTGCCGCGACTAACCGTAGGCAAGTGTGACTAAGAAATTTGGAGCAACACTTTGCCATGACTAAGGGAATCTTGCCACACTTTTTTTACTCTATGATGACATGTGGAGCCCAAGGAATCTTGCCTAAGTTTTAGTTGCCAACCGAACACTTGCCAACTTAGTTAAACACCGCACAGTTGCACTTAGATTGGTTTTCATGCTTTAGCTAAATAGGGGATGACATAGACATGACACATGATCACATATTCATATACACATGATGAAATGCAAAGCTGGAGCATAGAAATACTTACTTCATTGGTTTCTGCTGTAATTAAATTTGCAATTTCAGGCCTTGAGGTTGCATATTGATGACTCAGATTCCAGCAATGAAGTAACACAGCCATTGCCAGAGCTGGTATCATCATCCCATGGAAGTCAGTCCATGCATATTCATTATGGATTGATGGCTTGTGCGATTGCTCTGACAGGGGTAGCTGTGATGGTTTACTTGAGACACTCGAAAGCTTGAACTTCTGGAGAACAAAGACTTTTGCAAAGCTATATATATACAACTAATACACATAGAAGGATCACATACTTTGGCTCATGAGAAGGGTAATAGTGAAGTAATCATGGGCTGATGACGATATACACACATTGTTGGTCCAAGAGAAATACGCTGACTGTCATGTTCTCCAGTTAACTGAAGTCAGTTCTTATGGTGGGAGGGAAGCCTATGATATGGTGTTTCCCGTACATTTTTGACAAGTACCCGCAGTTTCATGATGCGGTGAAATATGTAACCCTTATGGTTGGTAACCATGAATTCAGTGATGTCTCAAGTAATCCTGTAACCATGTATATGCATCTCTAAGCATGAAAACCAAGAATGAATCTCGCCTATATGGTGATCAGATCCCAAGTTTCACTAATTTTGGTGAAACATGAGGTTGTTACTACTATTTATTGAGCATAGCATATTTAGTGGCGATGCTGCAAGTAAAATATCATCTGGAATGCTGTATTAGCATGTGTGCATCTGTGACTATGAAACCTAGAGTGAATCTCGCCTAGGTTGCCCTGCTGTTTTATTCAGTGTGTCTGGTCAGCCAAGTTCGATCTTAATTTGCCCTGCTGTTTATTCTGTGTCAGCTTATTGCAGAACGATTGAACTGAAGCCTCAGAAATTCTGGAGTGATCGTTTCAGGCAGCCATTAAGGTGGTGATAGATTCATGAAACTTAACTCCATGGGTAGAAGCTTTATCACACAACAGTTTCAATTCTAACGTGACAGTCACAACACAACTGTCAACTGGTATTGCTATGGCAACAGTACAAGTCCCTTCTTTTCAGAAAGCAAACACGAGAAAATTCATCAAATGTCAGAATCACATCTGGCAACAGTACAACAAATCCCTTCTTTTCAGAAATCAAACACGAGAAATTCAAGAACTTGCATGCTAGTGTGATGTTTTTTTTTTCCTGCTTGAACTGCCGTTATGGTGCAAGAAGATAAGCTTTATTATGTCAGCAGTAGCCACTAGGGTAAAAGTGCAACCTGGAAGAGGGGAAAAAAAGAGTGAGGTACATCTAGAACAATTTTTAAAGTATATACCTTATCAAAGTATAGAGGACGTTATTTATATTACCTTAGTTTTCTCTTGGAAATGCCTTCTTGATTTCGTGCGACCTTGCAGCCACTTCCTGCATGCAGATGCGCTCATTTGGGGATGCCTTAGTGCAGAGAAGCCCAATGTTTAGAACTGAAAGCAAACACTCTAAGCTTTTCTCCTTCATGGCAAATGAAGTTTCTTGAGATAAATCTTGTTGCTCTTCTAGTAGTTGAGGGTCAATAATCTGTGGTATCATGTCAGGAAAGTTCATCTCAACAAATTTTGTAATGTTCATCCCACCATTGAACATATCGTCAGTTGGCCTCCTCCGCAAAAATATTTCAAGTAGAACAATCCCGAAGCTGTAAACATCTCCAGCACTCGACACTGCTCCACCTGTAGCACACTCTGCAGATTGCACAAAAGAATTGCTTACACCAAACATAAATGCACACGAGAAAATTATGCAGTATGAAACTTCGTATTACCTGGAGCAATATATCCTATTGTTCCCATAAAAGCACCTGAAGTCGAGATCGAGTGAGTGCACGATGATGCTGCTGAGTCAAATTTGAACCTGGCAAGACCAAAGTCTCCAACATGTGCTGTCATATTGTCATCCAAAAGAATGTTGCTAGGCTTTAGATCACAATGGACGATAGTTCCTTGGTTGCCATGGTGGAGGTACTCCAATGCATCTGCAACATCCACTGCAATACTTAACCTTTGAGCCATTGTGACGTGGATTTGAGTTGAGGTGTTCCCATCACATCTAGTTGAGTACAGTAGCTCATGCAAGTCTCCTTGTGGCATGAACTCATAGACTAAGGCTTTGAAATCATTTCCACTGGAGTCAATACTGGAGCATACAGTTACTATAGGAACTAGATTTCTGTGCCGCACCTTACGTAGAGCGTTGCATTCTGCAATGAAGCTCTGTTGTGCTCCCCTTGTCTCTAGACGGAAAACTTTGATAGCAACCAAGGTTCTACCTTGGAAGAGTTCTCCTTTATACACGGAAGAATATCTTCCTTTGCCAATCAAATTGGATGCTGAGAACCCACATGTTGCTCTGGCGAGATCGTTGTAAGAAACTTTGGGAAATTTGCTACCGAATGATGGCAAAGATAATAGGTTTCTTTTTTGTTTTCCTCTCCAGACAAGCATTACAGTTATGACTATAGCAACTAACAAAATGCTGGATAAGGGGATCACCACTTTTTGTACAATGGAATGTCGCCTCTGCTTACTTGAATTAATAGGCGTGACATGGCATGCGAGTAGGTGTAATTCCAATGGCCCACCACAAAGCCCTTGATTTCCATCAATCCTCACAGCAGTCACATTGCTGAATATCCCTTTCATTGGGACCTCACCACTGATGTTGTTGAATGACAGATCTAGTTGTTCAAGGTATGGGAGGTTGCTGAGGGACATTGGTATTGACCCAGTCAAATTATTGTGAGACAAGTCCAGAACTTGTAGGCCACTTATGTTGCCTATTGTAATGGGGATGCTTCCTCCAAAACTATTCTGTCCCAGCACAATGTATAGCAAGTTTTCACAATTACCTATAGTGGTCGGAATGTCTCGAAACAGCATATTTGACGAAAGATCAAAATATGTGAGTGCCTTGGCATTGCCTACTTCATAAGGAAGTTGCCCATGCAGGTGGTTTACAGATAAATCAATATAAAAGATTGTTGGAATTCCAAACATCTCTTTGGGAACACCGCCATGAAGAAGATTATTTGAAAAGCTGCACTTCCAAAGATTCTGAAGATTTCCTATGCTTGCAGGTAAATGCCCTTCGAATTTGTTGGATTGAAGAAAAAGTTCTGATAACTGAGACAAGTTCGAAAGGGATGATGGGATAAACCCTGAGAAACTGTTGTTAGCTAAACTCATCGCTTGCAAACTTTTTAGAGCTCCAAGCCATTCTGGAATCTGGCCTGTAAGTTGATTCCCATCTAGTTCTAGCCCCATCAGGTTGTGAAGGTTTGCGATGCCAGAAGGAAAACCACCTGATAGTTGATTATACCCCAGAAATAATGTCTGCAGTTCAACAGAAAGGTTACCTAATGAAGTTGGTACATTTCCTTGTAGCTGATTCGACTCTACAGACAAAAGCCGCAGCTTACTACAGTTGCCTAAGCTGTAAACAAACTCCCAGTCTTGCTTGTTATGAGCTTCAAGTTTATTATACCCAAGATTCAGCCAGTAGAGTTTGCGATGTTTGCCAATGTATCTAGGCACCACCCCCGTGAAACTGTTGTCTGCTATCTCAATGAAGCGCAGATCAGATGCATTGGCCAATGAGGAAGGGATGTATCCATGAAAAAAATTGGAGGCTATTGCAAGGAATTGGAGGTTGGGAAGAAAGGTACCAAGGCCAGGTGGCACCTCGCTGCTAAAATGATTCACTGTAATATCAAAGGCAAAAAGAGTTGAAAGATTCAGGATTGCCTCTGGAAAAGTACCTGCCAAATGGTTGCTATCAGCGAGCAGATACTGTAGCTCCGGTAACTTGGCAAACTCATCTGGGATGTTTCCGGCAATCTTATTGAAACTTACGTCAAGCACTTGTAGTGTTGTAATATTGGCAAGAGAAGAAGGAATGGTTCCAGAAAGATTGTTAGATCGAATCTCCAGCTGTTTGAGTCCAAGTGGCAGAGCAGGAAATCCTCCAACGAGATTGTTCCCGTTGAGCCATAGTTTCTGCAGACGAGAGCAGTTTCCAAAAGTTGGTATAACTCCATGTAACGTGTTGTTACTCAAGTAGAGGGTTTGGAGGCGATGCAACTGGCCAAGGGATGCTGGGATTTGTCCACTGAATCTGTTTGTCACCAGGGACAGGTGTTTCAGGAATGTCAGGTTCCCGAGGGAAGGAGATATTTGGCCGACTAAACCTCTATTTCCAAGGTCAAGATTAGTGACACGATTGCTCCTCGTCCTGCATGTGACACCTTGCCAGTTGCAGAAGTGATTGCTGTCATTCCAAGATGCCAATGCTTGCTGTGGATCCAAACTGATCGCCTTCTTGAATTCAAGCAACGACAGTTGATCTGTTTGGTTCTCATGGCCAGGAGTGGTGGTGCAGGTGACAGGATGCACCAGGCTGAAGGCCATGAGCACGAGCAGAAGCCGTCGAGTTGCAGCAGCCTTCATGGTGATAAGCTTGGGATTGATTGAGAGATTCAGAAGTACATAGTGAGGAACTCCAGCGCCTTCAGCTTTCTGTTCTGTTTCGATGTAAGAAACTGCAGAGGCATAGGAACCAAGAGAAGTATTACAATGAAAATACTAACCGAGAAAAATCATTAAATATTACTTCTTATATAAGTTAAAGTCTGTCAAGTACGTTGAGTACCTGAAACTAACATGATGTCAGTGTTCTTCTCTTCAGCAGTGATCTGAACGGCAAGTGAAAAATCCCAACTGCAGGATAGCTATCAAATATGTAATGTACATGTACTGCCATACAGACGTAAGATAAGAACATTTGCTTCAACTTCAAAAACCTTGCGGTTCTTCTGTATAAAGTTCTTGCATATAAAGGATGACGATGGAACTGACGATATGCGGATATGGTAAATAAGAAAGAAATATTTCAGGAAACGATATGGTAAATCAGAAAGAAGAGGGGTAAGGGGGGCATGTGGTTACAGAAATCGAGGTGCTTGCCTGATCGTCGACGGCCAAGGTGTCGGAGCTAGATATCGCCGGCGATCGACGAAGCAGCCAGCCACCACCACGCGACGACACACGCACGTACTGATCGAGCTGACACTGACAGGGGCAGCTGCCTGAGGCTGCATATACATCTGATGGTGGTGATGGTTATACATTACACAGGGCGAGAAAAGAATCGATGGGCCAACCTTCCAGACGCTTGCTTTCTTGTATAGATAGAAT